TTATAAAAAAATCATCCATTACACCAATCCTTTATCTTCACAACAGCATCATTTCCTCCCAAAACTCTGTGAAATTCCTTGGTATGTGGCTGGATCAAAAACTTTTCTGGAAAAAGCATATACACACTTGGCGCTAACATGCAACAAAAGACTCAATTTGCTTTAAACCGTATCAAATCGTTTCTGGGATTCCGACTTCTCTACACTACTCCTTCTGTATAAAACACTAATTAGATCCAAATTCGATTACGGTTCAATTGTTAATACCTCCGCAACCAAGAGTACCCTAAAACCGTTAGATACAATCCACAATGCCGCACTTCGGATCGTTCTCGGATTTTTACTTTTTACACTTCACCCATAGAAAGCTTATATTCCGAAACTGGAGAAACATTATTGCAGTATAGGCCGGCACTTTTAATACTTTCATACGCTTTTTCTTTAGCTGCTAATAAGGATCATCCACTATTCGAAAATACTTTTTCTAAAATAATCTTGATTTTCTCTTTAATAAACCTCATACTGGAAAACCTTATTACACACGAATAAGATAAATTCTGAATAGTTTTGACATAACAATCCCTGATGTTTTTCACTGTAACATCCAACATCCGACTCCATGGTTAATAAGCATCCCAAATTGTAACATCTCTCTAATAGAGTTCTCCAAAAAATGCAATAACAATATACTAATCAAAAACAAACTAAACGAGATTCTTGAACGAGACTACCTTAACTGCACAAACATCTTTACCGATGCTTTTAAATTTGATGATGGTATTGGTTGTGCATTTGTTATTCCAACGTCTACTTTCAAATTTAAACTAACGCCTAGCTCAAGTGCTTTCACTGCTGAACTGTTTGCTTTGTACCGTGTCCTAAAACAAGCAAACCTCTCAAGAATTTCAAAACCTCTGTTTCTCACCGACTCGCTCAGCTCTCTTCTTGCAATGCAGCAGCTGTATCCTAAACATCCCTTGGAGCAACTTTAAAAATTGAACTACAAAGCGCTCAAGAGAACCACATAACTCATAAATTTATATGGATCCCATCGCATATAGGAATTATCGGCAATGAAGAGGCAGACAGTAGTGCTAGTGATGCAGCAACAAGTGCGGAATATGAATTAGTGTGTGAGAGTATATGTAAAGATCTCAAAACGTTTTTTAAACAAAAAGTGATTGGTCAGTGGCAGCTAGTACACGGTTTATTCAAACGGTTCTACGTATAGGACACACTAAGATCACACACTCTTATTTACTTTCGGCCAGTGAACGCCACCTGTGCGACCTATATGCTACTCCTCTTACCGTCGTCCATTTCTTAATTGAGTATCCAAATGCTCTACCAGATTTATTAGGAAAAAACTGTCACGTAAAAACTTATTAAATTACCAAAAGTGAATCAATATTTTGTATTAGATTTAAAGTTTTGTTTACTGAGTTACGCCGCTAATCACCTGTTGGTGGATGCGGCAATGTTTCTTTTTAATAAAAAAAAAACTAATCTGGTTCTAACAAATATTTTGCAGGTAAATATAAAATAAAAATATGTTTCAAAAATTTAAATCTTTTCATATCCTTCTTAATTAACATGAAACTATCTTTAATGTTGAGCAAAAATATACTTTACTGCTACGTTTAATTTTAATGTAAAGCTGTGCTTCATTTATTCAATATAATTTTTTCTGTATTTCTGAAGTTTTGTTACCTATAACTATCCAATAAATATTACTTCTTTAACAATAATGGGATTGGATGTTTCCGAAAGATAATAGTTAAAATGTATTTAGAGAATAAATCTGTAAAGAACTGTTAAAGAAACAGCATGCGAGATGACTAAATGATTTTAGCCCAGTCTGGTTATGCAAAAATCATCGATTTCACGGCAAAATTTTTTGCAGATATCTGAAGATTTTAAAACATAGGTGGGGGTTACTAGATCAAAAGTACTCGTATTTTTACCTTGTGTTTTTTTTAAACAATAATTTATGGTCATAATTTCATCTTTTGTCTATAAGTTTTTTCCCTTATATTTTACATAAACAATATTTATATCATTTTTTATATCAAGAATATCTTTATTTTCCCGTTTTTTAAATTAAAATTGATAAATATTTACGGAGATATTTTCAAAAAAAAAAAACAGTTTTTTTTGCACTAATTTATAAATTTTATTAACAAAAAAAAATAAATTTTTTTATTAACAAAACAAATTGTTATTATTACATTGGAACATCGAGGAATTACCGTCTTTTAAATTTGTGCGAAATTTCCCCCCGGTCAGTCAAGTAGTTTAAAAGTTATTTAATTTATTTATACCTGAGGCTAAATATTTAAACTATTGAACTTGCTCTATTAATGATGCTAGACACATTTATCAAATTTCATAGGATTCTTTAAGACGTAAACTATCTCAGAAGTTAAATGCATATTGCGTTTTCATCGAAATTATTTAAAAAATAAACGTTTGAAAAGGAGTATGTTTTTTACTTACAAGCAATTGTAATACAACCATTGGATGGCTGGTAAAAACAGCTATCACATTAAAAAACCTTCCAATAGGTTCCGATTTGGAAAAAGTATTTCAATTTAGAAAAAAATAATATGGGTCCATTGACATCTGTTATGGTAGTTCAGAAACGCACATGCGATGCTTGCGATATCTCAGAGAGGACATTCTGAAGAATTAATAACATGAGTGAGGATGAAATAAATAAAGTAAGCAAGAGAAATCGTCGACATCCAAGAACTTTAGATTTGCACCAGTCAATTAAACTGGCAATTTAAAATATTATATATAATATGTATAAAGCCAAAGAACATGTAACAATTGGTGCTGTTTTACAAAAAATAAAAGACAAGGAACTGTGTGATATTAGTTTAACAAGTTTGTGGAGAGTGCTGAAACATTTAGCATTTTATTTCGATATAAAAAGACAAATAATATACAACTATTGTGTGAACCCTCTAATGTTGTTTCAAAACGGTGGCATTTTTTAAGAAAATACATGAACAATAAAACGTCTGACAGTCCGAGGACAGTCCAAAAATCCTGGCAAGATGGCACCACGAAATTTTCATGCTGGAAATTATGAGGGTTTTATTCCTAATGTAAATATTTTTGAAGAATGGTTTGAAAAAAAAATTGTTAAAAAAATTGGAGCGACCATCCATAATAGTGTTGGATAATGCATCCTACCACTCAAGAGTAGAAAAGAGATTTCCTTCAAGTAGCTGGACAAAAAAGAAATAAAGTTGTGGTTGACAGAAAAGAAAATTTATCACAGTGACATATTTTTAAAAGTCGATTTACTTCAAAGGTGTGAAGAACACAAAATGCAAAAGAAATTTGTTACTGACCAAATGGCTCTTAAAAATGGACATGAAATTCGTCGACTTCCGCCCTACCATTGCTATTATAATGCAAATGAGATAGTTTGTGGTATAGGCAAAAATTTTATGATAAACATGCATCCAAAACAACAGATGACGCTAGCGTTTTTCGTTTATGGAAAGAATCGCTAGAACAAATAAAGGCAGAACACTGGCAAAATTGTATTAGACATACGGAAGACATAATCGTTTAGTCTTTTCAAAGACTAAGCGAGTTATAGATGAGGTCAGGCCTCTAATTATTCAGATAGTGACGACTCTGTAGTGAAATATCAAACAGTGAATAGGACAAATCATTTGCTAAAAAGAAGTAACAAAAAAGTGTTTCAGGATTTCAATTCGGACTTGTGGTGTATGTATTTTAGTTAAACGATAAAGTACCTTCGTTGTAATTACTGGACTGCATACTGTCAATAGCTTTGATATGAATTACTGGACTACACGTGTTTAAACCGTTTATTTTGCTGAAAACTGAAGTGATTTAGTGCCAATTTGTTTCAAGGTTATAGTTAATACAGTGGCTGCAGAAAGTAAAATCTTGGATGTATTTTATTCAGATTTGGACATACCGAAGCAACTTGGCAAGTATTTTCCAATTTTTACTGCATGCAAAACTATTCGTATAATTTTTACTCTACACAAAATATGAGACTTATAGAGACCTTGATGAACATTTGATGTCGACAAATAATTTCGTGTATTCGAAATATTCCGTCCCACTTCTTTTAACACGCCCTGTATATATACATATTATATTCATTTTATTTGCCTTTGATACAGTAAAATCCAATATTGTTACTTAACATAAAATACAGGAAATTAAATATTTTTACTTTTCAAGCGATCGGAATTAAATATTAACGCCCCATTGTTTGAGGCCCACTGATCATATCTTAATTGCATATCGGCCGTCATAGGGTAAAAGGACTTTACTCCCTCCTTTACTCAAAAATTGGTAATCTGTATTTGCCGAACCTCCTGTATGTTATTCTGTGGAAAATGTTAAAATTCCAAAAAAAATTTATTGTAAAATATTTTGGATGTATTCTTTAATTACGGTATTAATGCATGTATTAATGCTCTATATTTTCCCTCCTTCTGTTCATTATTTTTTATCAAATTTTACATTTTGTTTTATCAAACGCATCTCTTACTTACTTACTTTGCCATACTCACTCCTTAATAATATTATATGTGCCTAATCATTCTTAATGATAGAAAAATATTAAGGAACAAAATAATTTAAACGATTAATTTAAACACCAAATATATATTTATGTATATAAGCATTTATTGTACATTATAAAATTTATTTTGATTTTTTATATTTTCTTCACCCGCATGCGAAGGCAATGACGTTACAGAGGGGACATGCACATCCTCCCACCGTCACTGTGACCTGTGACGTTTCATCATTCTCGTGCATTGTAGCATGTGGTTGGATCGGGTTCGAAATAGTGGGAGAAGCGCCACATGGAACTTCTTTCAAAAGTTTATCTCTTTTCACTCCGTCGATAAGGCCCTCTTGTGCGGTTGTAACGTTTAAATTACCAAAGAATGCAATAGTGATTATATTTCGTCTGCGTATTAAGTTACTTTACCACCATGGATGCACAAAGTTTCCAAACGGACCAAAACATCGAATATCATTTAGTGACAATGTTTGAAAAACTAGAAAATCTTAGAAATGATACAGTTAAAACTTCGGAAAAATCTAAAATTCCTCTACAAGTGGAAATCCGTACTCTGGAGTTTTGGCGGGCGGTTATTTCGGAGTGTTTATCTTCTTTTATATATGTTTTTATAGTGTGCGGGGCTGCTGCAGGATCCGGTGTTGGAGCTCCTATTTCTTCTGTATTATTAGCCACTGCACTCGCTGCAGGATTTGCCATGACTTCACTGACCCAGTGCTTTGGGCACATTTCAGGTAATTGTTTACATGACATTAATGTAATTCCATAAATTTTTTTACTCAAAAACTAGTGATATTAAAGAATTATACAAGGAAAAAGAATTTATAAAAACTTTTCTTATTGAAACATGTTTTGTTTATTTTCACTTGTTATTGGTTTTGTTATTTATTTCCAGTTTTTTCTACATGAATAAAACAATTTTACTAAACAAATGTGGCATACGGATGGGTTGGAATCTGTACGGTAGTTTTTTGTTTTTGATACCATAATATATTTAAATAATTTCTCCCTCCATAAGGTCAAAAAACACAGTCTAAACAATTTTCTGAGGATTATTCGTATCCTTGTGATTTTTTTTGTTCGAGTTTTTGCGATTTTGGGTTCGAGGATCTTAAAAATTAAAGCTTAACAAAAAGTACTAATGTAAATAATCTAATTAAAGTAAGATATTGTGAATTTGAGAAGTTCTGTATTCAGAGCTAGACTTTGGAATCTTTTAATTTCTTCAATATCTAATATTTTCATTCGCAATATTGGCGGTTTTATTACGTTTTAACCGAATCTTGTTAAATTAAATTTAATATATCTTTATATAATATCTGTCCTGGTTCATAAATTCTTACTGGAGAGATAACAATTACTGATTTTGAGCATTAATTAGTGAATTTTTGAAAGTAGGACAGCGTTATGAAGGGCAATGCCTTGAGTAACCTCAAGTTACAAGTGTTTGCAATTCCAAACTGTTGGTTGTAATTTTTTATGGCAGCTTTTAAGTTACAAAGACGTTGTTTTTTTATTCTTTTTATTTTAGGGTAAAATGTACACTATTATCAAAGTATTTACAAAAAATTTAATTTGAGGTATACCATATTAAATTTGACCCTAAAGTTATACAAAATTAATGATTGAAAATCCAAAAATGTAAATTTTTCTCCATTTTTAGTTTTTGAAATAACTGTTGTAAAAATAATTTTTTTATTCAAAAATAATAAGTAATATTTTAGCTCTAATTATAAATCTAATGAAACTTTGTAAGATCCGATCGGTCAATTAGTTTTCGAGATATGTTTAATTGTTTATAGAAGTTCTTATAAATTTTGCAGGACCAGAAATCAGAAATGTATCAAAAAGATAGAGATATCCTAAACAGATTCTCTTTTCGGTTGATTAAATTTTTATATAGAAATAAAAATATTTGCTTAAAAAATGTTTCAACCTCTTATTTACGACTTTGAAGTAGGGACAACTTTTGCGTCATATATTAATTAAACTACAACGCTCCCTATACACTACTCAAAGATTTAAAAAATGTTTTCTACGACCAATAGAGCTACAATAAACAAAGCTACTTTGTTTATAACAATTTATATTTAAAATAGCGCCATCAATAGTTAAGGGGATATATTTTATGAGGATATAATTTTTATTAAAAAAACGCTATTTCTAGTCAAAAAACATCAGTAAAGTTGACTGTTGTTTTCGTAGCTGAATCGGCTCGGTAGTGGGGAAAGTCTTCTCCTGTCGGTTAAGCGAGAAAAAATTCACAACTTCAAATCCCCAGCGCTCGGAAAAAAATATGATATCTCCGTTAAATATGGACCAATTTCGCTTTTTATTTATATTAAACTTTAGTGTCTTTTAAAATCTATTTTAAATTGCTCTTAAATACTCTCAATGATTTTTTTTTAATATTCCAAGAAACTTATTAAAAAAAAGGATTATATTATATGGAAAAAAAGCAGTACTTTGGTATATAGAGGAAAGGTGGCAAATTCGGACCCCCAATTGGTTGTTATATCACATTTATACTAAAGTAGTTTGAATTCCAATTTAAGAAAAATAACTAAACTAATATTATCTAGGAATAACTTTTCTTTGAAATATTCTAAAAATATAGAATATATTATATTACTGCTAATTTTTGTAAAAGTTTACAATATAAGCACTTAAAAAAGGGTTGTAAATTCGGACCTCTCTTTTTTTCTAATGGATTACGACGGGTGTAGAAATAATTCACAATTATTTAAATAAATATATATATTTATTTTATTTTTAAAATAAATTGATTAACAAACTTTGTACAAATCTGACTCTTAAGTGACAAATACAAAAGTATCAAAATAAATTAGCTTTTTCATAAAAGGCGTAGGTCTGTGACTGTTTTAAGTTTGAATCTAGTTTACTGGCAGAAGTCGCATAATATAATGTAATCATATTTTTCCGCACTGGTACAATCAACATGTGCCCAACATTGACACATTAGGCATTTGATCCACTGTTCACCCATCGTTGACTTGGATCATTGTTAGATGCAGAACATGCACGTCACATCCGATTCATCCGGTGTTTGTCCTGGTCCTACAATGAATCCGATTGAAGAGACTGATTGCAGAGACAAATGATTTTCCTCAGATGAAGACCCCTGGTATGTGTCCAAATCTAATTGTCTCGACCTGAGAGCTAGGTTTATGCTTTTTACACTCTTTCTGTAAGTTTTCTTTATTTTCAGCCTCTAACATCGTCTTTTTTTTCAGTCTTTTTCCTTTGGCGTCTTTATATGTTTGATCTTTTGTTTTTAGCAATTTCTGCCTCTAAGTGTGCTTTATAAGGAGACAAAGAGATTATGGCCGATTTGCAGGCTTGTGGCCTCTTCCAGATGATTTTTTTATCAGTTTGGACCCAGTCAAGATTTAAAACAGGCTTGTGTAAACTGGAAAAGGATTTGAAAGAGAACTTGATCAGGGGAATGGCATAGGTAGGGGAGCTGGTTCTACCAACTTAGGCTTGTTCGTGTGCAACTTTTGAACGAGAATGTGTCACATGGTGAGGAGATTCAGAATTTTCCTCATCAAGTGTGTTGTTCGAAGAAGTTTCAACAGGATCATTAGATGTACAGCCGTTATCATCTAGATCAATATGCTTCTCTTTTTGGGCTTCTGCAATGAGCTCGGTATCAGAAAACTTGTTTCTATCCAGTGGAAAAATTCCAGTTGTCTTGAACCCATTAATGGCTATTTCTGCCGTTTGACACTTTATGTAGGTCTTCCCAAATAGCTCCATTACGTCAAATGCTATTAGAGGGTGTTAGTTTGTTAACAACCACTGCCTAATCCTCTGACTATAATACGTCTTTAAAGGAGACAAACAACTTATCTAAGGGTTGCAACTTATGAGTTGAATGAGGCGGTAGGGAGATGATTGTAATATGGTTCTGCCTAGCCTTCTCGTTAATGTCAATATTTCTGATGTGGCTTGAATGCCTGTCAAAGACTAGGAGAACAGGTGATTTAGTTGCAGGTTTTGTAGTGCTCAATAAATGGTCGAACCATTTTGTAAACAGTTCTGTTGTAATCCATTTAGATAGCTGCACGTGAAGGACAGCACCTGGAGGAGCTCGTTTTTGCACCTGAGCATTCATGTATTTCCGAGGAAATATCACCATGGGTGAAACATAGTCGCCACTAGCACTCATATAGACTACAATTGTTGCCAAGGCACCTCTTTCTGTTGATGTAAGAGGGCCTACCTGCTTTTTTCTCAGAGACCAATGACTGGTTTTAATTTACTTTGAATTACTGTAAGTTAAAGCTTTTTACGTACTTTCATAATATTGTACTCATTTACCCTAAAATATTGATTTGATAGAATCAAAAAACATCTTTTTTGCACCTGAAAAGTGTCATAAAAAATTATAACCAACAATTTGGAGTTACTCAAGGTATTGTCCTTCATAACGCTGTGTTGGTTTAAAAACATTATTAATTAATGCACCTTTTTTCTCTACAGCTTAGGACTACTAGGAATGGTGATAGATCAATAGGTAAATATATAAAGTTTCGATCAAGATGTTTAAAGGCTGACTAAATGGAAGTAAGCCAGTGACGAGCTGTGTGACAGAAAAAGGCGTTCACAAAATAAATGAAAACAATTAGAAGCTTAGATGTATGAATGAAGGATCACGTTGAAAGGAAGTGAATACGTTTCAAATGAATAAATTGAGAAAATCTTTACGTACCCCCCTTTCGAAATAAGGCAATACCTACTTAATGAGAACTAACTAGAAAATACAAAAATATATTGAATGCTGTTTTTCTGGAAGGACTAGGGGATGCCAAAAAGACATGGTAGTTTTGAAGAATATTGTTATCACCCAAGATAGTCATTCTTCTAAATGTGCCTATCTTCTAGCGATGTTGGCGACCTCATTGACTCATCTTATTCTATTCACAGCAGCTCGAAATAGATCAGTGGACGTTAGACCAGTCCACTTCATAAGATAACCATTATATGCACAAATAGAATTAGAGAAAACGAAATCTTACAGAAATAAAAGAGAAAGATACTAATGATCATTTTCGATTTTATTAAATTTTGAATTTATTCTATTAATTTTAGTATTAATTTAAAGATTTTTTCTTACAGGTGCTCATATAAATCCGGCAGTGTCCTTGGCGATGGGTGTAATAAAGAGAATATCATTTCTAAGAACATTACTCTTCATTGTAGCGCAGTGTGGGGGAGGAATTGCTGGAGCAGCTTTTTTGTATGGGTAAGTTTTTTAACAAAGATATGACTTTGTTTTACTTTTGAAGCTATGATCGAGTAGGTAGATTCGGAACAAGTAGGCAAATTATTTTCTGCCCACTTTTTCATCCATTTTCTTTGCTATCGATTCAAGACATTTTTAAACGGTATCTGTATAAATATAATAAGTCAACTCAAGAATACAGTCTGGACATCTAAAGAGATTGAAAAATGCTGGTATTTAATATTTTAATCATCCAACTTTGAGACCATGATTAAAATTTTTCATTGCTTTGTCAAAAATTAATGTTGAATGAATACCGAATAGATAATAAACAGTTTTTGTTGAGTGCGTTGTAGTATTTGAATTTTTTATTTATAAATCAGATTTTATCTTTGTGTGAAAAGGAAATGGCAAATAATAAAGTCCAAAATTTGCCACAGAAGCCAGATTTTATATTATACAATATCATATTCTTGATTATATTAATATGTTCAAGTGTTTTCAAAGTTAATAGTGTACTGAGTTCATTTCTAAGCAAACTGAACAGAATACATTCTCTGCTCTCTCATTGAGTTTTGTATCACATTGAAATATATCGGTGTGAGTATTAGGTGATTATCATTTCGACTTTGAGCATCCATAACTATATTAACACTGATTTTTGAATTTAGCATCAGTTGGTGCCCCTCCTAGACTCCTTTTTTTATTTTATTTTTTCATTTTCTTTTGTCACTCCACTCATCCATCTAAACATTCTCATTTTCATCAAATGCATTCGTTGTTCTTCTTTCTAATGAGAAATACGTAAAAGTCTTACTTTTCACACACATGTTAACATTCAAAGTTATCAACTTATTGTAATAGAAGCTCGATATTTAAATGAACATTCTACATATTCTGTCCTACTGAGCTTTAAAACTTTTTCTTTAAGAACTTGTCTAGGTTATTCCATTTTTTGCTAAAATTCCTTACAGCATTGTCTGCTAAGACCACAACATGCATTAAGCACCAGACAATGTTATCTTGTAGTTTCCCTGGTATAGTTGCAGTAAGAAATATAGTAGAAAGCTCAAATTTGTAGGTTTTTCTGTACACACTAGAACTATTTCACCTTACAGGGGATTCCCTCTTATCGCATACTTGCAGTGATAACTGATGTAGAATAGCTTTTGTAATTACTCTTATTATTGTTAAAATTATTGATACTAAAATAAATTTATAAAAATAGAGTTAAATCTACAATAAACGTATGTATACAGTTCAAAATTTTTAAAATTCAGCAAAAAAATGCAAACATGTCTCTTCTGTTTTTTAATATATTTCAAGAATACAAAACCTAGAAATATAACAACTTGTTTAAAACGAGAGTCTTTTCATTACTGCACTTGTAATTTGTCGGAAAATTAATTGCACAACACAATAATTAACAAGGAATCACTTAAAATACTTATACACTTAATTTATGTTCTCATTCTTCCATCACTATCATCATTGAATTCAATAATAAATGTATTTCCACCATTAATATGGTAGTGCTTAATCTTATAGTATTCTTCACTTTGATCACTTTGGCGATTTTTTTGCCAGTCTTCTTTGTAATATTAGATACTCATTTTTTAATTACTTTAATTACATTCTTATAAAATTTAGGAAATGTATTTGTACGCCTGAGACTTGGTTTTCAATTGTCCCCAAATTAACTCTATAGGATTGAAAATACAAACATAGAGGGAATTCTTGGCTCCAAGTTTTTGATCAGTGAGTTTTAAAACCAATCTTGAAAAATATCAGACTCCATACTATTGTGGTAGTCAACGTTAAAATCCTATATTTTCTTCCACATAATTTTAAAGCATTCGAAACTCATCTCCACTTCCTCTGCAATTAAGAATAACACAGGTCTGCAAAAAATTATTTTTTGAAAGTTGTTATAAATTTGATAAATGACTTTTATGTACTTTTCCGCGCTGATTTCAAAAATGCAAACCATGTTTGTCTATCACGTCAGGTTTTCTCGTAAAGTAGGAAGTATCTTTGGGTATAATAACAAAATGTAAGCCATTTTTCACCTTTTTCCAACGGTATAAAATTTAGTTTATTTATTAATCATGTTCTAAACTACATTTCCAGTACCAGATCATTTCTCTTTAAGCTCGTAAGTCCTTATAATACCGCTTTCGCTTTCTGTCGAAGCTGTGGACTCGTTGAGGACATCTTTCTTGGTATCTTTTTATTTTTTCATTTCTTTGATGTTTTGGTGAAATCTTTCGCCCTGCTCATCTCCGGTATCACCAAGATTTGCCGGGAAGTAGTCAAGATGTGAGTGGAGAAAGTGAAGTTTAATGCTCATGTTACATCCCCGCTTCTTAAAGTTGACGTTCATGTCTGCGACGATTGTCTTGTAGTTTGGATCTCTTTTGTTATCTGGGAAACCGGTAACAACTTTTTTAAAAGATGTCCATGCTGCCTTTTCATTTCTCCGTTTTGTCCCCAAAATTGGGATCTGTGATTAGTTTTCTAATGCCGGTCCGACAAATATTCCTCCCTTTAGCTTTGCCGTGGATAAACTAGGATAAACTGTCCACAAAGTTATCTGAAACACTCCTTTTCTTTAGTCAATGCCTTGACAAAATTGTTTCATTAGCTCCAATTTAATGTGAAGTGGTGGAAGTAACACCTTTTTGGAATCCACAAGGCTTATCCTTTCAACATTTTTAATCCCTAAATGTAAGCTTTCTCATTTTAGGCCAAGCTTTTTTTATGTAATGTTACTTTTGTCTCTACTGTTGCATTCACAGAGAAAGCAAGGGAAATTTATATAGCCACTTTGTTGACCAGCAGCATTGAAATCACTAACACATAGTGTTCATTTGTGGTCCTAATAGCAGAGTTTGCTTAACACCTGGTCAAGGTAACATTATTTCAAGTGAACCGAGGGTCCAACTGGTATAGTAGCATACTTGACATTGTGTAGAATACTGCTTTAAGACTTCTTTTCAATGAAAAGTCTCCACTCATTAGGATCATATTCTGATTTAAAATGTGCCATAAGTCCAGGAACATCACTGCAAAACACCAGTTCATCTTCTTGGAAGAAGAAATATATCGCTCTCTAATAGCAATGCTAAATTGGAGTCTAAATTAGCAATACTCATGCAAAAAATCCGTAAAACTGTCAATTTTCAAATAGACATTGTGAAAACATACAAAGTTATTGCGAAAATTAAAATCCATGTTTCAACTGTGTATCTCGAAAAATAGCCATATTTGTATAAGACATGTTAGACAGAATCAAGAACATTATGAGGTTTAGATTCTACAACTCAGAGATTGGATATTCTTAATGAATCACCCTGTGCCCTGCCGGGTAACAAATACGGCCTAAAACTAAATTGCAAGAAGACAAAAATAATGATCATTAGTAAGAACACCGGCATAAATGGCAATTAACGATACACCGTTAGAAAGAGTGGAAAAATATGCTATTTGGGCTGCAATATTAAAGATACTTGGAATCGAGCTACAACTCGTATTTAAAAAGCCAGAAGCTCTTTTAACAGCCTTAGGAAAATTCTCTGCGACTTATCTTTAGGTATCAATATACGCATAAGAATTCTTAGATTCTTAGATTACGTCTTTAGTGTCCTCCTCTATGGAGTAGAAAGCTGGAGCCTTACAAAAGATGCCATAAAACGATTGGAGGCATTTGAAATGTGGTGCTAGCGACTTATATTGAGGGTCTCATATATACACCAAACAAGTAACATAACTATTCTCCAGAGGCTAAGAAAAGACAAAGAAATTATTAACACCATAAAAAACAGAAAATTGGCTTACTTCGGCCACATAATGCGTAATGATAAATACCTACTTCTACAGTTGATTCTACAGGGCAAGATTGAGAGAGGACCTGGACGTAAAACTTCTCTAGAAGATAGGCACATTTAGAAGACTGAATCACCCTGTATATGACCAAGTCCTTGACCGGGCATACTTTCCCATGGTATTTAGGTTGTGTTCTAATGTAGGTTCCTATCAGGTCGCGCAAAGTGCTCTTTTGCGTTTCTCATAACAATGATCTGATAGAACGCGTAGATAGATGAAAGATAGAACACGTATGATCAAAAGATATCGAATTTTTACCATTAAGTTGATACAAATTTTATTTAAATTGATTTCGCCCGCGTAACTGACATTCAAAACCGCCGGTCGCTTCAAGTGTTGTTTCTGAGAGAACGGTTTATTCTACACAAAAAGTGTTAATAAACATTTTTCTTTAAAATTTCCTCAGCTACATTTTTTATTTGAAACATTTTTTTACGGCGTAAAGATTCTTGAACTGGTAAACTTTCTTGCATCTTTTTGGGGTCACAAAATTGACATTCTCAGCTAAATTCAGTATGGTTTTTATAGGTTCAGTGGCATTTTCGTCTCTAACGACTGAAATAAAAGTTAACTAAAAGGGCTTATAAGATAAAGTGAAATTATTGATGTTTGTGAAACCGTTCGTCAGGTGTTAAAACTGTACTATAAACAGAGACTACTGTTACGATACCTTGTTTTCACGTGAATATAAACATCTGCCAATATAAAGTAAAGATTGATCAACAGTACAGAAATTCTATGAGTTTTCTATGAAAATCATGATCCGAGGAAACGTGTAGGTATAAAAGATACGAAATAGGTATTGTCGATTATTCAGTATCTACATTGATAGTTCACAAATACGGTTACTTTGTCGAAACAAGCCCATGCCTTTTAACCAGAGTGTTCTTCTTCTACTAGTTCCATGACCGTTATCGATCTTTGGATATCATGTTGGCTACCATATTCGATATCGTGACTTTATTGACAGCAGCTCTAAATAACGATGTAGTTGATTTTCCATACCATCGCCTTAGATTTTTCAGCCATGATGTTCTTCGTCTACCAGGACCACGATTACCTTGGATCTTTCCCTGAATGATCAGATGTAAAAGATCATATTTCTCAGGGTGTCTCATAATGTGACCGAAGTATTC